CTTCTTCTTCTTCTTCTTCTTCTTCTTCTTCTTCTTCTTCTTCTTCTTCCTCTTCCTCCTCCTCCTTCTCCTCCTCCTTCTTTTTATTATTATTATTGGACCAGGAATCAAACTTAGGACCTTGAACTTACCAGGCCGATGCTTGTGCTGCTGAGCTATATCCCTAGTCCCTAATCTTTTTTATTTTTGATGAGTATTTTGTGAGTTTATATTTATTTATTCTTACACATTGGTAGAACAGCTTCAAATTTAGGTGAGGATAAGACCTCTTTGCTTCCTGGGATCTTTCTGACTTGTGCTTTGAAAGAAAACAGTTCTCTTAATGGAAAGTGACTCTAAATGAAGAAGTTTGAGCTCAAGGCCTACTTTTTTCTAAAGCCAAAGCCAAAAGGAAGTGAGTACGAGACGAACTGCATTGCCTGAAAGTGCTACAGAGATGAAACTCAAAGCAGGAAGTAATCTATCATAAAAGCACTGAGTGGAGCACATTTGTGTCATGTGCGTAGACATGACAAAAACGGTGCTTCTTAAATTATTTGTGGCAATAGTGATCACATTCATTTTAATTTTGCCAGAATATTTCAAGACACCAAAAGGTGAGTGTATAATTATGATGGGCTTTCTTTTTTTAAGTTTTAAAAGTAGTCAGCTAATGGTTACAGAAAAGAAGTTCTAGAATACACGTACATGAGGTGATGTGCTGTTTGAAAAACTGGAAAACTAAAGTAAATTGAAATTTAATTGATGGTTACATGGCACAGTAACCTTATTCATATTATTTATTATGGCACACATAAAAATGAAACATTTGAAGTTGGTAGTCTAGGTTTTAGAAATTGACTTTACAATAATCTGTTGTCATATGATTTTGCTCTTTGAAAGTTTCCTTCAAAACATTTAGATATTCTTTTGCATTTTGGGATTATTTCATACAGAAAGTAACATTTATTATGCTAAAAATGCTTGAACTCCCTCTTTTGCAATTCAATGCAAGTAATTTGTTGCTTTGGAAAAATAAAAGTAGACATGTTCAAAATATAATGGAAATAAGATAGGTACAAATTTAAGCAGGTGTGTGTGCATTTGTGGTGAGAGAAAAATGGGACAAAATTAACTTGGCCTATTTCAGAGAATTGTTACATGATTACTGAAATCCAGGGTTAGGGAAGTGGAGATAAATTTAAACTTTTTGTATGCTAATGAAAGCTCTGAAAAGATATTAATATAAATGATTCAATAGTAATTGTGCTACCTAGAATTTAATAAACAAAAGTAAAAATAAAATGTCATTAAATAGAAATCATAGAGTTTATTGAAACCAGAGAGAAACTTATATTTGATGCCTTGTTGCAATGAATACTTATTGTTGCATATATGTTATACTAAGAGGCCAGATTAAAAATAGTTGCTAGCTATATTTGATGACCTATTGTAATGATTATTTAAGGTTGTGTATTAGATGATGATGAGTAGCCAGATTAAGATATTTTTGCTAAACCAGCACCATTATGGCTATTTTGTGAATGATTGAAGTTTTATAATTTCCTTTGGCTTTCTGCCATTAAGTTGCTCAGATTAAGCAATCATAGCATATATTTTTAATGCTTGACTTACTGGGTGAAATTGTGTTATACTGAGACTAGTTAAAGAAAATCTATTTTTAAGCTGTAGTGGGCTGAAAGTGAGTTCATTTAATAATTACTTAAGGTAAGAGGTACTGAATATATATCTATTAAAAATCATGTTGGCTCTAATGAAAACCAGGTTATTGGCCTACTAAAGATTTAATGAACTATTCGCTAACCATTGGTATCTAAAGAGGCCTGGTGGGTCTAAGAGCATGCTGCAGTGCCCCTCCCCCCAGGTAGATGCATGGAATTTTTAGTTTCTGTTTCTGAGGGTGACACATGGCCTTCTGGGGTAGTGGTAAACACACAGTGCAGCTCAGAGAAATTCACGTGGAAGCCTTAGTGGTCTCTTGTATTTGTGGGTAGAAGAAGGAATATTTATCAAATCCATCTTCATCAAACTTCCTGGGCCTAATCGTAACGTGTCAGGTCTTCACCTCCATGGTGACCAACTGTCATTTATAATGATATTTATCCTCATAGTTTCCTAACTGATTTCACCAGCTCTCAGTACGACCTTTGCTGCCTTCACCAGCTGAAAATACCTGTTTCTCTTTGCCCAGCCCAACAGCAGCTTAGGTTGCTCATCAGATTCTTGGGGAAGATGGATCTGTTGGGGAATTTTGTTTCAAAGAGTCCCTATTTCAAACGTTTTTGTTTGAAATAAACAAACAAAAGGAAATAAAACAAAGAAAATAAATAATGTAAACAAAAATGTTTGAAAACTGTCTTCAAATAGTAGTTTGATGTCTTTTGTTGGTAGAAGGAATTTTGAACAGAACCACATAAATAAAAAGTGGAGTAGTAGGTAAACATTTTGCATATGCCATAATGTAATAATAATGCCATATATATGTATATATTTGATTTTGTGGGTTTTGTTTGTTTGGTTGTTTTGTATTTAGTTTCCCCTGAGTGCTCCTGAACTGGCAATCCTCCTGCCTATTGAGATAAATTGAACTGTCAACCAGCACATTTCATAAAAAAGTATCAAGTAAAATTATTTAGATGACAGACTATGAGAGTTCTAAAAGTGGGAAGATTAATCCTGAAATTCCCCTGTCTATTCTCACCCTGTCTTTTACTTATTTCTTTTTTCTTCATTTTAAATGTTCTATTCACTTTAATTTCTAAGATAAATTTTATAAAATTATTTTTACTCATAAATTATTCACTGATACCTTGTCTTTGACATGTCAAGTGAATTCAAAAGAAATCTTAATGAACAGTAATGTATTCATGAGGCTTAGTAGATTTGGTTTCAAAATAATAAACCTTCTGAAGTCCTAAGTTAAAATTGGAGCATCATGTTTGATCATTTGTCATCAAAAATGGACCTGAGTTTCTGAATAATCTTTAGTAGGAATATTCAATTTTCACAGTTACACAGTATAAGCTATTTAGTCTAACTGTGAGAAGGGTAACTTCTTTTCTTTTTTCTTTTTTCTTTCTTTTTTTTTTTTTTTTGTGGTACCAGGAATCAAACTCAGGACCTTGTGTTGCTAGGCAAGCGCTTATTCCACTGAGCTATTTCCCCAGCCCAGGGTAACTTCTTAAACATTGAGTCTTTTAATAAATTTGCATTGGGTATGCATTGGCAACATAATCTGTCCTACAGAAGTGTTTTTAAACTTTCAGTTTATATGAAAGGCAGCTAACAGTAGTTAATGCAATAGCTGGATACACATGCAATATACACTATTGCATGTCAATAATGGAGATACAGGTAAGAATGAATATATTTTGATTCAGATATTCTTGTAGGAAACCAAAAGGAGCTGTTTTATTGATCCAAAGTAAAACTTCTCTGGTTTGCTTTTGCTAGATTTAGTGTTGAAGACAGAGAATTGGTTAATTTGTATATAAATCCCAATGATATTTTATATATTTATGCTTTCACTCCACAATAGTATCTACTCATCAATAGAAGCCCAGGGTTGCAAAAAATCAAAAGCAAGACTTTTTTCAAAGAATTTTCATACAGAGGAAGACTAATAGCAGACAATGAAATATAAAAGCACAAATTCTAAAATAGGAATGTAAGAATGGTTGTCAGGGGAACATAAATGTTGCTTTCAGTCCTGTTTTGGGGAAGATGTGCTTTCTAATTCCATTTGACAAGGAAAATAATGACTACCAGAGTTTAAATGATTGTTTAATGTTCCTCCTTACTAGCTAGTTTACTAGATTAAGAGCAGCAATGATTATTATTGATTTTCAAATGAAAAGTTTTCATATCAATATCTCAAAAATTCCTGGAAGCAGAAATGGTAGCGAGTTATACAGATATCCTCCGAGCGATCTATGGCAATGAGGGGCAAGAATAGCAACGATAAGAGCACCTTAAATTTAATTTTATCTAGCTACTTTGACTTCTTCCCTTTTAAGAGCCAAATTCACATACACTATGTTTACTAGCTTTTATTTCTCTTTCCATTTCATATTTTCTGATGGAAATATCAGTGTGATGAATGGTCAAGCTGAAGAAAACAAAGGATAAAGAAATTTCACTAACAAACTGGGATAATCCCTGCAGCACAGGAGCGTACGCTCACAGTATTTAAGTCCATGTTATGAAGGCCAGCATGGCAAGGGTAAAGGCAGTTAATGTTTTCACAGTGTTGACCTGGTTTTTCAAAATGGACCCTCACTATTGTTCTCATTGACTGGGTCATAAAAATTTAAGCAATTATTAAAAAAATATTTGGGATAAAGGCTAATGACTAAACTTTTTAAAAAAGATTTGAATGTTATAAGCATAAAGAAAGAATGAATGTTTGAGGTATCTATTTTGGGTCTGGTTTCTTTCTCTAGCTTCGTATGTTCTGATATTTTGTTATTGAGTGTAACAGATACTTATATTTACATGTACCATGTTTATAGGTACTATGTCCAGACTTTTATTTTATTTAGTTTTACAGGTAATCTACTAAAATCTTTTTAAGATTTGATAAACTAATTTCATTGGTACAGTTTAGGTATTACACATAATGATCACATTCATCTTAGGGAATTTCTATCTATATATGACACAACTTGATTCTTTTTTTCTTCCCATTCCCTTACCCTGTCTCTAATCCCGCCCCCTTATTTATATACAAAAACTTTGTTTCCATTTTTTTCCTTCTTTTCTCCTCATTTTTCCCTCTCCATCCTTCCTTTCCCCCACTAAATATTATGTTCTTAGCCTCATTTTCTTTCTTTTTTTTATTGTCAGGGTCTTTATTGCCTTTGTTACAGAGGAGGAAACTGTTACTTTTTTAAAAAAAATTATTTATTTACTTATTTTTACAAAATCTCAAAACAAGATTTTAGGAGAGTAATAATGGTTAGTACATTGTGTATTGCTACTGCTAAAGTAGTTTCTCATATTACAAGATATA